AATCATTTTCGTAACATTTCGTATGTCATCTGTACTCATTAATTTTTTATCATGCTCTATAATTTACAAGTTAGATTAACTTTAAAAATTAGTTTACCTGACATGACATTTATCAATAATTAACATTATAGGAAACTAACAAACTATACATATTTAATTGTTTAAAAAGCAAAATAATAAAACATTGTACTTTCTAATAATGTAAATTTTATAAACTGTTAAAAAGTATTAAGAAAATTTTATTTATCATTAATAAGTGTATCATTGTGGATGGGTTGAAATATTGGTAAGCTTTCATTTTCCATCAATCTCCAGATGAGAATTGAATAAGGTAAAATTAGTAGCCTATCTAGGGGTCTTGAAGTGGGAGGGACTGATGGGAGTGGGTCTTGAAGGTGGAGTGGAGGATCAATGATTAAGTGAGGTAGTAAAATAAGGTGATTTTTAACTGATTGAGCATGATTTTTTTTGCTTCGGACATTTTCAATGATGGTGAAAGCGTTTTTGGGGGGTCGTGCACACCCCTAGATACGCCACTGGGTAAGATAATTCGCCAGAAGATTCTGCAGATTTGTCTTCCAAAAAAGTACATAAAACATTACATTTGATCTGGATTAGCAATCAATCCTAAACTTGGCATGGCTACTACTAACTGTTAGCTTTCAGGAAGTCCTAACACACACAACTCGCACTTCTGTGTACGAATACGGACACATTCTAGTTAAATAGTAAATTATTGTTTCCTTTTTGAGCAACAAAGTGGTTGTACTGCGGTCACACCTCAGTGCGAATCATAAAGCAATTGAACAAGATCAACTACAAGTTCCAAGCAAGTTTACAGAGTGTATCTCCTCCAGCCTCAGTCAACCAGAGGATTAGATTAACATGTATGTGTAATCTGTGCATGGACTGCATTTTATCCTCAGTTCAGGGTCTATAAAATGGCTGGCTGTTCAACAATAGTCTACCTAGATTGAAAAAAACAATCTATCCTCTCTATAGCAAGTATGAGATTGTTAAAGATACTATCAGTGGTAAAATGGGAAAAAATTAATTAAAATACTTAAGAAAGAATCAGACAACTACTGTATGTAGTTTATTGATTTACTGATATTTTACATAATCATTAAGTTGATAACTAGCGAATTTAGGGTAGATACAAAGAATATTAAGATGGTATTATATGTTTTCTGATTGATAAGCAAAATGTTATTTCACTTTGCTTTTCAATAAAAAAAAAATTAAGCTAATTACTAATACAATGTTTAGCAAGGTTCATATTATTTGAAGTTTTTTAGCTTAACACAGAAACTGATTTAAAAGTTAATTGATGCTAACCTTTTTATCCAGAACACTTGCTCAGTTACCATGGTAATAAAAGATGATTAAATTCACGGATAAGATTTGATTTTATCTCTGATTCACTATTAATGTTGTCGCAATGAATGTTCCATAATTAGTTTGATAATTGTCTGTAATTCCATCATGATTTTATTTCGCTTAGTTTTGATTAGAAAGAAATTAACATCTGTTTCTTTCTTGGAATACATATCAAGCACTAAATTGTTTCGTAGTTGTTAGTTCTATTTCCAATCTCTCAGATTCATAACTTCTTGGAATTTTATTTCCTAGGTTTTCAAAACTAGCTTTATTATGTTTTTATCATCTCATCATATTTTTTTGTAAATTTTTTATGTAGTCGGGTTTTTACGTAAATTTAAGTGTGTGTGATTGAATTGTAGTTACTTGAGTTGCTCTCTGCGTAAGCAATGGCAGCTGAGTGATTTCGCAATGTGCCATTTCTGCTGTGTTTAGATTACGAGGACCTGACATTCTTTGCCTTGTTAAGAAGGAGTCCGGTTTGCTTGTCTTGTCTAAGATTAAGAGTACTGTTGTTTTTTCAGCAAAGGTGTAAGCTCTATTATCAATAAGCACAATACAGGTGTGTTGTGTGTTGAAAAGCATTTTACTTCAGTCATCTTATGCCACTCACATTCCTCAGATGGACCAACTGAATAAAGTTAACCATAAACCTTTAGTTAGTCTAGCCTGTTAAAGTTAATTCTGCATAATTACACCTGCGATTAATAATAATAATGATATGTTGGTATTAATATACAGTAGCCGTATTAAAACTAGCCCTATCAAAACTAAGTTTTTATGTGCTTTATATTATTAACCATAATGCTCTGTCTAGTAGTCGGTTATAATTTAAATATTTGCATTATCAAACTTAGAATTAATAATAAATATTATGTTGGTATTTATATAGCACTCTCACATTAGGTCTTTCGCCATTAAATGGAACGATGCCTATGGAACACAAACTCAGCTCCCTGGGGGAGTGTACCATAATTTGCTGCATGAAATAAATCGGTGCATAGGCATTAAACCTATTAGGTCTCTAAGTAAACTAATATTTTACTGAATTTAATTGATAATTAATTACATTAAACTGGGATGTGTGGGTTGGAGATGAAAAAATATCCACAACAGCAACTACATACAACAGTGGTTTTACATTGTTTGCTTCTGGATTTTACTCTGATAATATTTTTCAGAGAGATATTATTATGTACTTACAATTACATAATATTTGCCGGAAGAATAAATTAGCTTTGTATTATTTAAAGACAATGGTTGTTGTATCTTTCAACGTGGGAAATATTTACTGCATTTGTTCCTTACTAATTTAAAAGATTTTTCATTAAATATCATGTTCAGCTTCATGGCTTTTTTGTGTGAATTAATAGAACCTGTTGTTACACCTTCTGGTTTTAGCTAATATGAGTAAGATTTCCAACTTTTAATACTTATTTGAACTTATTTGAATAACAAAGATATACTGCTGAATTTATTTCACACCTTTTGTGTTTGAAATTTGTTCAACATTCTTCTCTGGCTAGTACTGCAATTTAATGAAATAAAGAGAGGTTGAAGTCGATTTGTGAACTGCTAATGAAAACAAACATTATTTTCAAAAGAGGCTGAGATTAACAATACCAGGCTGCTGAACAAGCCATTGAATTCTCGTTTTGAGAACTTCTTTTTACCTGGTGGAGCCCTGCTTTGGCCCTAGGCTACGTAATTTGATCAGGCTTCAGATCAGAGGAGCCAGAATCTGGCTTAGTGTTACCACAGGGCCGAGAACAACATTGTGCGAATCAAAGAATTTCGGGAGGCTGAATCACCAAGACTAGATGAAATTGGTTATTAACGTCAGGACCGAAACTTAATCCGACATGATTTTCACAGGATGCCAGAGTTAAAGTTCATGGGTTACTTTGATTAAGTTCTCAACTCTCAGCGTCCATCCTCACATGCGATAAACCAATAGTAACTAAAAAAAGCTTAAATGCTTCACGTCTCCTCCCACTCCCATTTTCTTTTGAATGCCAGATACTTTTCTTGATAGTAAACCCCAGAAGTCCCATTCCTATTTTTCATTAAAAAATTATATGGATCTAAATTTGTGAGAGTATTTATTGAAAAACCATATCATTAATTTTGATTTTTAATTTGTAGGTTAGGCAATAAATTTTCTTAAATAAAGCATTGTGTAATTTTGATTAAAATTATAGTACAGCAGATGTAAATGTATGGAAATTGTTGCATACATACAGTATTAACTCTTTACTGTAGGCAAGGATAACATCGTAGCCATTTAAACAAAAATTAAAACGGGTTCTGACTATTTTATTCTCAGAAAATTTCAAGAATATTAAATAATTCTCAAAAGAGCAGTGGTGTACTATGAAATTGAACACAAATATTTTATATTATCAATATATAAGTTTATGTTTTTCATTTAAATGAATTTTATCATGGAATTATATTTCAAATTACTTTCTTAGAAAGCCAAGTAAGATTCAGTGATCTATAGAAATCAAATATGAAGTAAAGAAACCAATTTAAAACATGCACATCTCAATTTGAAGCAAAAGCAAAAAGGATTAAATTATTGATGAAGTGTTAAATTCTCCAAATAATGATCTTGTTTTTGAGATGATTGTTTTTAAGATTCAGCCGACACAATTTAAATGGAGTCATCATGTAATCCATAGAAAAAGCAATAGTATGTGACGATTTAAAAATGCCTAATCAAAATTGTTTAACAATGCTTCTGTTTAATGGAATTCCATTAACTACAGTAGTGGAAAATATGTGTTGCCATCTGTTTACGATAATGTTTTTGATGTTCTGGTAACGTTATAAAACATACATGTACATGAATTAATGCCTTATACTTCCCAGAGTTTGACGCATCATATCTTTGATACATAAATGTTTCAATTTATTTAAAATTGTTTCAAACAATTTAAATTTTTAAAAATTTAAATGCAAGTAACATTATGTAAAACATATTTAGTGGTAGATCAATGGTAAGACTTATTTATCAACACTAAGTGACCCTATTCAAAATGTATGAAGAATTTTAAATTTGAAACAAGATCTTTGTCAAGATTAGACTATATAGTACACATTGTATATCTCCATTAAAGTCTTTATTACTTTATTGAGAAGCTTTTGTTTGATAGATCCTATCATTAGGGCTGGCTTTCTGTGGGCTTGATCCATTGTTAATGCCATGAATTAGTCTTAAAACCTTTTATTATTCACAAGGTATACAACACATCATTCTGCAGTTAGAAATGTATTCGTCGGTTTTGCTAGGATTGATCTGAACTTGTCCGTAGCAATTAGCATTACCGGTACATCTCAATAACACTGGTATTACATATGTAGGATGCTGTTTTATTGATGTGGTACAAGTTACTACATTAGGTTCTTATTCAGATTTAGTGTTTAAAGGGTATTTTTTATGATTGATGTCATGAAAATGTTCTGAAGTTCAATTGATAATGTAACAGAATGTAATAATTACATGATCTATCTTTAATATAAGCCATCAGTCACTGCTACAATACACAACAATGTAACGATTTATCTTCAGTGAATAAATACATATTATGGTTTTTTTTTTTGTTTTTTTTGTGCAGAGATCTAAGTGATAATGACATATCATCAGTCAATCAATCGGCATTTATGGAACTTGTTTCGTTAACCGAGCTGTAAGTATATTTAGACTTATCTGTTTCTTTAGTTCAACTGTATTTTCTCGTATTCAATCTGTGTCAAGTATGTCAAATAATTAGGTATTCACATATTTTTTAGAGTAAATATGTATGACATAGTTGGTATTTATTCAAATTTATTCATTGTGTGTATCAAACCATATACTCATTAGTTCTGTAAACATTGTACTGTAGTTGATGGTAGAATTACATTAGTCTGTGTGAAAAATTTTGTAAAAACGCTTTTCAAAATATATAACAAAATATGCCAAAAAAAAGAGCATATCAGAGGCAGATCCAGGATTTGAAAAAGGGCGGTTCAAAATGTATCCAAAAAAACCCAAAATGAAAGGGGGGTCAATAGGTCCTCCCCTGGGAAAATTTTGATTCCTAAATGACCGGAAATGAGCTTTCCCGACTTCCCCTCGTGATAAAGGTCAGGTAATTTTATCTCATTCTTTAGGCCTATACATAGAGAAAAAATAAATCAGACATACAGTACCTCCACAAAATATTGCAATTTTACCTGTGCGCAGGCTTCGTAGATACATCGTAACCTGATATAAACAATCTAACCTGTGCGCAGGCTTCGTAGATACATCGTAGCCTAATATAAACAATCTAAGCAAGGCTACGCGAAGCGAACCTACGAAGCAAAAGCATGTTGTTTATTTGTATGTGCAGAAAGACTGCTGTAGCTTACTGGAATAAACAATGTATTGCTTGATAATTTGTAATGACAAGCACAAGTTTAGACCGTTAATTTAAAGTATGGAGCTGTTTTTAATAAGCAAAACGTACAATTGACTTCATGGGAGTCTCCTCTTCCATTCGCTGTCCACGAGTCGACAGGAACTTGTTTGTACTGCTGTATTATTTTTTTAATTAATTAGCCTGGCCTAGGCTAGCCTATTTTTTATTTACAATTATTTTACCTCTTATAACTGTTATAAAAAGGATGCCCTCAATGACAATATTCACATGTGAAAAGATTGTTCATCAAATAATATTTTGTAGTCTTGATTTAGTAAGATAAATAATAAATATATAGAGAGTTAACGTCTGTTGATTGTAAAATTACCAAATGTCTCATGGAAAACCCAATGGAAAATAAAACTTGGCAAAATGCCAGTTCATCTTCTCAACCCCAAAAATCCAGCGTCGGACAGAGATCCGCCAGGATCCACCATTGCATATTTGCAAAATATTGCACTGAACAAACAAAAACATAAAATCAACGGAAGGAGGAATCACAAAAAGAATTATAAACAACATCATAAAAAAAAACACCCTGACTACTATTAATTTAACATGAATCATAATTTTTTCATTTAAAGTTGAATTCTGAATAATTGTATTTTTCTTTTCAAGAGGTTAATAAAGATTCAAGGAAAAGAATTATTAAAGTTATTTAAATTTATTGATGAATTCTTGTGTTATGGTAAATAATATTTCATTATATCATGTTACATAGAACTTTGCTTGGTTGTGAGTATTTCAAACTGTAATTATCCACCTCACCTTAGTCACAATAACCTGTGTATTCCTAAAAGATAGTTTATCTTAGATGCCAAACAAGAACCATTAAAAGTATAAAAACCTTTTGTAGCAATTAGAACATCTATCACACAAATGCTTAATTGTGATCCTACTGTGGGTGTATTAGAATTTTATGAGCAAAGATTTTATTTAAAAAAAGATTACAAAATAGATATATCGCTTTAGAGAGAGTTATTACATTTGCACACTTAAGTTTGTACAATAACTATTATTTTACCTTTTGTCTTCGCTCTCAAATCAAAATTAATAGCCTCCTCGAAAATAAGAAAAAGCATTAGATTTGATCAAGTTGTTAACCCATTCACTGTTAACCTAGAATCCAACAAGTTTATTACAAACAATTGTAAGTAAAGAAGATAATTGTAGAAGACAAGCAATTCTTAAAGAGTAGCAGATATAGTATAATAGGTCTTGGTTTATTGTCGAAGTTCAATCAGCTTATCCAGAAATAAGAGATTTCGCCAAGCGTTCTCAGCTAGAACAACGTGTACGCAAAGCCCTAGATGTTTATCGTATTTGGAAAACATGATACTCGTTTTGATAGGCGATGTACAAAAGAGGTAATAGACAAGAATCTTGCTAGTGTTTTTCCAAAGCCAGTTATAATTTGACTGACCTGATAACGTTATATTTCCGTATGTTTTAACTTGTAGTACAGCCGTATAAGTAATTTTCATTATGTGTGGAACGTGATATCTAATGTATGCACAGTAGCGTAATTTATAAAAAAAATTCTGAAGAACACATTGCTTTTCCTTACAAATGCAAACTAGATACTATTGTTATAATGTCGTTAAAATTGTAATACAAACAGGGAGAATGAAACTTATACAAATTCAGTGTTTTTTCTCAAAAAAATAATTCAGTAAATTTTTGGGACGTGTACAAGCTGTTTAGCACTGAAGAAGGGTCCCTTACCCATTGGCATTAATCTTGTTTAAAGAGCATCTGTATCTCCCTCCCCATTCCCCTTTGGAAAGAAAGAAAAAGAAAAAAAATCTGCCAAAAAAAAAATCATTCAAAACTCCTCTAGAAAACAAATGTTTCGCGGGGCATTCCTCCGGACTTCCTAGGGTAGTTTTGTCTCGATGAGTCCCATTTTCTACTCCCCCCCCACCCCTTTTTTGGACATCTCTGGATCTGCCCCCTGTATCTGATTCAATTCTGAAGGCCTGTATTTCAAAGAAATTCATCAAATTATTGATTATAAAAAAATTGCGTCATGATCCTTTTCATTCAATATATGCCAACTAATTCTGTTTCGATAGAATTCTTAAAAATTCAATCAAATGTTAAACACAATTTGAACATATTCTTTAAATTTTTGAGTGTACATTTCGATAATGTTGAACAGCCAGAAAATAGCGCATATTGAAAGTGTTGGTTATTAGATCATGGAACTTCCCAGTAAAATGCCCAATAGAAGACTTGCTTACATAGCCTAGAAGCTAAATCTATTGCTCAAACACAGCTGTGAGAAGACTGTTTGCTGTAGGATTTCAAAAGATTTCCCTTTTCAGTATGTGAATGCACAAAACTTGATTCATCACCAGTACTTTTCAAGTGATTTTTTTTATACCTTGTTTTTGTTATTTTTCTCTCTTAGGAATTTGGCGGAAAATGAGCTCACCTCGATTCCACAACTTAGTACGGCAGTTCAAAATCTTACAACTCTTATATTGTAAGTAAATATTTTCTTTGGTTGTTATCAATGGTGAACAAAAGTTGAATGGGGAATATAGTGGAGAAAAATATAACATATACTGCATTTATATTCAGAGTATATTATTTACATGTTGTCATATTTTTTCCACAATTTGACAATGAGTGGCTTGTCTGTTTTTCTACCTTAACTGAATTTTTCCACATTATTTTCCTCTGTCATAACTGTACATACAGTATATGCCTACTGGAATTCTTTCAAAGGTTCTTATCTTGTAATTGACGTAATTAATTTCATCCTGAACGATATGAAAATGTGCGTACAATTGCGGTGCAAATTAAACAGAACATTAATAATACATTCACCGTTGACATTTGTGAAGTCCCCTGTGAGAGGCATCGTGCCTCTCAGCCTTCTCGCCAGTCCTTGTAACCATGGCGATAAGTCGTGTAAGGAAGAATGAACTTTTTAAATGTTGTTAACAATTATAAAGGGTTTAGAAAGGCTAGGGGTGAAGTGGGATCTCAGAGGGAACTTAAGTACCCTTTAGCGACCTGCATCTTCTGGAGGCCTGCCGATGAATGGGCCAACCACACAATTGAAAGCACTTTGATCAGTTCATCCCAGAGGGAAAACTTTCTAAATATTTTCATTGAAAGTGTAGGCTGTTAAAAATCTACAAAAAATTACTTGTTTTATTTTATGTTTACCAGTAAAGACACTGGTAATAATTCATTGATATTAACCTTGGTTAAACTTCTTTATATAATAATACTTTCAAATTTTTAAAATGTTTAATATAATTATTAACAGTTATTGCAATGTAAAGTTAGACTTATTTTTATGACATTTTAAAATTGATCTGTATATCATGTTAACACGGTTTCTTTGTCTATTAAATCATTTTCTAAAATAGCATTCTTGCGTGAATTTACGATTGCATTTATCTCATTAGAGATTCTCTTTAAATGATTATACTGTAAAAAAAAGTATACCATCCCTAGCAACATTACGTATGATATAATCCCAGTAGATTTGTGTGTCTGAAAACCCTTGTTCCATATCCATATCTCATTACATCCATTAATTTTCAGATGATGGATTTGCCCCTCCTTCCTATTTCCTTGATGAATCTTGCCTCAGTTGACTGGTTTTCCCCATCTCATCACCATTTTCTGTATCCGTTGTCTTGATTCACAGATAAACCAAATTGTAATTATTCACGCCAACCTCTTTTACACTTCATCATTGAATTCCATAATGGATTTCATCCTCCTTGCAAATGGAAATCTTTCCAATGCGATAGGGATCCAGTAAACAAGGCATCTCTTTCAGTCTAACAGTCGACAAATCCTTAAAGGTGGAAAAGGTCTTGGAATCTTGCTCATGTGCATGTTTTTCTAACCACATTGCTTTCAGGGACATATGTTACCGTTTGAAGAGATTACAGTGGTCATGGTCGTGAGGATTAGTCAGCTTAGTATGTGATCAACAACGCAGGATATAACCACCGACCTAACTTAATCCCCTTTCATTGGGTGCTAATGAGATGGATTTTTAAATTTCAAACATTTTTACTGGATTCAGTTTTTTTTTTTACTCATTATATATTGTGCTTATTTTGGCCTTCACTTAAAATTATTTTAAATTATAATTAATAATAAAAAAAACCATGATGTTATCTGCTAATAATAATATAGAAGGTTAAAATTTAATGATAACAGTACTGTATCAGTCACAAAATTTATTTTAGTAATTTTACATTAAATCAATTTAGTCAAGGTGGTAGAAAAATATGAATCATACAAAAAAATGTGAATCGTACAAAAAAAATGTGATTCATGATATAAAGTAAAAAATATGATAATTGTTTAAAACAAAATATATCAAATCGAATGCTCATTCCCTTGCAAATGCTGTATGTATAGTAGAAGTACAAAAGGTTCTTTCTCTTAGTAGGCCTACTTTTTAAGGCTTTTGTGCTAGTAGTATGTCTGGTGTCTGTAGTCGAGCTAAGCCTAATCCAATTTCCCATCATTTCAAAGCCTCAGAATCTTGTCCCGATAAGGTATTATAAACCGCAATTATATGGGGGAAGGATGGGGAAGGAGGACGGATTAAGAAGGGAAAAATAACATGTCTACTTGAAATCAAGTAACAGAATTTCCCAGGGGCAAGATTATTCACACCTGTAACCTCTGACCTTGACTGTAGCTAGGCTATTATGTTTGGCCTCTAGTCCAGGCTTTCTATAGGGAATGGAATGACTAAGAGGCTACACCTGTATAGGGATACTATCGTCACTGGTTAATAATGTTGTCTGTACTGTTTCCTTATAATTCTTTTGTTCTGTTACAGTGTACAGAATTATATTTTGATTTCCTGTGAGCTAGATTGAATTGGACTAAAAGAAAAGTAAAAGTTACCAAGACTCATAATATTAATTTACCTTCTGAAAAATAAAAGTGTAGGCAAAATTTGAATGAAAAATATTTTTGCACTTAAATTTGTTTCATAAAATAGAATTGTTAATGATTAAGATTTAAATTTTAGATATCCATGGCCAAAACTAGTGAAATACTAAAATATAAATTGTGAAATGAGTATTAAACTAAACATTACTATTTATCTATTAGGTATAGCCACAAACCTTTAACATAAAAAGTCTAGGCTATGTGTGAGTTTATCAATATTTTCCTAACCCCATGGATACAAGCATTTAACTCAGCTATTTCAATGTAAATACACCAACGAATTAGCAGTAATTTATCATGATGCAAATCAAACCTGTCTAGTTTTCTATGGTTGAAGTTGAAACACCTTACAAATATGGAATTTGTACTGGAATAATTTTTAACTTATATTATTAATCCTATCCTATATATTTGGGAAACTTGCAGATGATAAGTTATGTACAAAGTACATGTTTGCATATGCCAGCTATGTTTTGCTATCTATTATTAATAAGGTGAGCCAGAGTCCATTTTTGCTATCAATATGTCTGCCATGCCTTGATAATTTGTCATCGTTGCTATGATCCTAGGTCTGCCATTTGCATACAACTGAAAATTTGTAGTTGTAGGTAGGTTGAAGAATCATTGCCTAAGATTAGAACTACATGACAACTGGATGGGAAATATCCTCTTTTTTAACAGAAAGTTAAAATTCAAAATGTAAAAAAAAAAGAGTGATGACATGCTAGCTTTATTGTTTGAGACTATAATTTCCTTACAATTAAAACAAAGTTAAAAGGATTAGTGAAGTTTTATTTAAATGTTTGCCGTTGTGTAAACTAGTTTACCTATACCTCAATAAAGAACTGAAAATGATAAAGTTAAACTTTTTGCCCTTTAATTACCCTTGTTATAACTTATTTCTCTTTCTAATAATAACAATGAGGAATAGGTTTTTTGACAGAAGCGATTCATAATATTTGTTCTATCACCCCATTCTTATCCAATGAAATTACATCAATTTATTACTTATTATGCAAATTATTATAAGAGATAACATGATTAACCATATGGTCACATTTTTATAAAGTATTAAATTATTGTATTAATTCTAAATTTGTCCACGTTTTCTCTACATTTCAACCAACATTAAGTACATTCTAGCTTTTAGTACAAGATTTAACATCTTAATGATAATTTTTTGTTGCTCGCACAACATAAAGGACCACTCACTGTATTTCATCTGTGTCCATAATGGTATGACCAAACATACTGTTAATCTGATAAAATTAATCTGAAGAATGGAGCTATTCTAATGTGGAATTCAAGCAATTGGCTGTTGTTAGTACTTTTACTTCACTTTTAATTCTCGTACTCAATTGAGACTCATTATTATGTAACTCTAGGCAAATTTGATTGTATTTTTTGGCCTTGAATCTTTGAACTGTCTATGATACCAACTAAAATTGGCATGTGTTCTTATGTAGGCCTATAATCATACTTTCTTTGTATATTTCAACATTTCTAATTATTTATTTAATTAATATTATTTCTTTTTTTAACATGATTTATTATTTTTCTATTTGAAGGTTCTTTAGACAGACAAGGTGTGTCCAAAGCCCTGACCACACTATGAGAGTTTTAAATGACAAATGTCATATGCCCATATTTGGATGTAATATGACATCATCAGAACTATATATGGGCACATCACACAACTTTGTCACATAAAATTTGATAGTGCGGACAGCCTAAAGCCCTGTTCAGATTAGAATATCTTTTGGGTCAACAAAATCAGTGTGAACAAACTTGAGATTATTATATCAGTGAACGTATACTGTATATCTTTTTTCACAGCATCAAGTTCATAGCATTATGGTAATATAATATTCTTGTTTGAATTTACAGTTAGCACTATCTGTCTGTTTACTGACCAGCATTTTGAAAGTATTATTGATCTTGGTTGATTTCTACATGTTCAGTATGCACTAGTATGTTATTTTTTTAGTCCAAAGATGCATTAGGTCCAAATTTGGATTACTTATTGAATATTTTCTAATGTGCTAAGTGCGAGTCATACATAGATTGAATTGGCATCCCCATACTCTTTATTTTTACTGGATTTTCTTTCTATGTCATTTAATTAAATCAAATTGAGCATTGCTGGTGCTGTAAGTATGAATAAACGACAAGAGACTAGTAGTAAGTCTAAAAATAAATGTGTGCCTTTGATTCTGGGCACTGGTAGATTATAAGTGAAATAAAATATATTCTTGGTACTTGACTTGATCATGCTTGTACATTTGTCTATGCTCTACTATGTGTACACTTGTATTGATTATGGTATACCTTGCCTTACCTTGTCAATTGCTTGAGTGACGTTTATTCAACTTGTATTTAAGTCATGGTTTTTCTCTATTTTTTTTTTTTTTTGGACGCACCTTTATTATGTGAAGTGTGCCACTGTTTCAAAAGTGTAGTTTCCGAATAAATTCTTATTATTATACATAATTTTTCTCTGCATTCTTCAGCTTACGTATACATTTCACAAGAGCACCTGTATGC